AAAACCAGCAGCCTATATACCTGACAGCACTAGAGCTTTCTAACATTTTGGGAAAGCTTCACTAACTGATTTCAATCTGTGGTGGTAGGCTCATTTTAACTCAAAAGACCACATAAGAACAAATACAAATAGGGCTATGCACACATATCAAAGGACAATTTTATTATAACTTCATATGCAAAGCAAAAGGTTTACTAAATTGAAAGGCACCTGAGCAACATAAGGCAGAGCTCGCTGTTTGCTCTTCCTTTAAAGTAAATAAACCCATTTCCTTTCCATTGCATCATTTAAATTTTCTCTGAAGAAACCAGCTTTGTTACTGTGAAGTTATACTTGAACAACTGTTTTCAAACAGTGGTTCCAAAAGGCACTAAAGCAAAACCAAAATATTAATTTAACTTTCCTTAGCTCTGAGACTTCTTTCTAAGGTAGGAAGATGAGGTTGCAGACATAATGAATAGCATGACTAAAGGAGGAATCACTTACAGCCTTGTTGTTTCATGAAATTGCTGACTAATATCCACCTACTACTTATAGAAGTGTGTACTCCTATGAAGCAGTTAGGAAAACTTTTCTGAAACTGTTAATGAAAGGTCTATGAAAGGTCACAGTTGGACCTAAGAACAGTTTATCAGTCAAGGCTGAGCTACTGAACAAAGTCACAGATGTTTATGCACCTGCTTCAGAGATTAAAGCTGATAGTTTAGCTTGTTTTTCCACACTTCAATTAAGAAAAGTAACTAAGTTTTTACATTTTTTTTTATTTGGATCTGTTACCAAGGCTGTCTAATTCTATAAACCTTCTCTGAAAAGGCCAAGTGGAAATAAATTTCACAATTAGTTAAACAAGTTAGGGAGTGCAATGATCCATTGAAAGAAAAAGGTAGGCAAAAATACCTGTGGCTCAAGCGGGCAGCTGACAATGTTGTACAGAATGCTTCACTTACAAACAGTGCTGAACTGTAGACACTGTCGGGTGCTCTCACGCCCAGCTAGAACTTTAAAGCACTTCACAAAACCAAAATATTTTTCAACTATCCACCAATTCATATATAATTAAAAAAGTATTCATTTTCCCTCAATTAGAAAGACCAGTGCTCAAGCATGCGATGTAAATATAGCAAAAGTACTCTGACAGCCTATGTTGGAGAAAAAGATCCCACCATATGCTGGATAAAGATCTTACCATTTTTTGAGAATTACTGTTTTCAAGAGAGCACTAAGGAGAGAAGGGTAGAAACCAGAAGAGCTATGCAGTGTGATTCAGCAATAACGTCATTAGCTTGAGGGAATTCAACAGTTCCAAAGTTTCGCTGTATTAGAAGAACAGATCAACTGACAGCCCACAAAGCTAAAGGGCTGCTACTACCAGACAAGAAATACCACTAGTTCCAATGCTAAAATGGTCACTCACTTTCTAGAAGTAGCCAGAAATTCAGTAGGTGAAGTAGTCTCCTACAGCTCTGATGAATCCGTAACTGATTACTGGTGTGAGTTTCCTTCTAGTTTTTGCCAAGCTCTTCAAGCCTCAACAAAGCAACTAGTGGGATTCTGCTGAGAGCAGGGATCTCCCAAGTGGAGTGTGCCCACCTGAGGGAGTATGCCAGCTAACCCACCCGAGCTGCAGGAATAACACACCTTTTGGACAGTTAATACATAAAACTTTTCTTAATACAGTGGTCATTCCACCTTTATTTCATTCTTTTTTCATTTGTGTTTTTGTGCATGTTTTATGAGGTACATAATATGTTAGGACAAGAGTACATCAATGTTTAACTTACAAAAAATACATGTAAAATGCATGCTCAAAAATCTTCCTATGGAGAGGGGTGCATGAACAGAAATGGTTTGGCAGTGTCTGCTTTAGACCATACATGAGATTTTCTGTAGTATTTTTGGCAATTTCCTTCAATGTTGTTCTTGTGCAAGTGACTAGATGGACATTGAAAGAGAATGCAAACTTTGTTTATCCAAACTCTGTTTATTTTCTTGCAGGAAAAAAGTAAATCTTAAGAAAAAAATTACCTCAGACTGCTTCTCATCAATTTTTTGACTGATACATTCTGCACAGAAACAGGCTCAATAGCATAGATGCTATACCCATTACATGAAGCTTTAAAACAGGCAGTGAGTTAAGAAAAACTCTTTAAGTGGCACCTATTCAGTATGAATAGTTCCAAAGTATCCTTGGCAGCAAGTAAATTGTTCCCAGCTACAATCTGTGCAACATATTCATTTTAGTTCAACTAGAAGATTGAGATATAGGTCAACCCTCACGCTGAATAAAAATCTTTTTTGCAATGTCGTTGCAATTGCTGGCTAGCTACTTACAGAACTTAATCTCCAGCAGTTCCTCAGTAGAAACTGAGGCTCCCAACCAGGCAACAAGGCAAATAGTTTAGGGACTATTTTTCAATCAGGTAAGTAAAAACAGAAAGGTCAGGAAAAACTACCGAGCTCTGTCTTATAGAAGTATATGAAGGTATATGAGTGTGCTCATTTGTCCCACCAATCAGTGGGGCAGTATGAAAACATCTGCCTATCCATGGCTGAAGTTAGCCGTGGAACACAGAGTCAGAGGAAGCATCACTTCCTCTCTTCAGGCAGAATGAGAACATTTTTACCTCTTAGTCTGTAAACATGACGAAACAATACCAGGAATCAAATAATACAAGCAATCACAAAAACAAAAAAAAAAGGATTTTTTTCAGTGTTCTTAATGAGTGATCAGTAGGGGATGCTGCTGTGATGACCAGTGAAGACTGACAGTTTCATCTGGAGAACACACACACTTAGCATTTTTTAGCTGCATTTGCCAATGCTTCTTAATTTCTTTCCCCAGTTCCAATTTTAAACACTCTCATAATCTGCAGCAATATCATATGTTAAAAAAAATATTGTGCCCCTTTCCTTAGGCTTGAATTTTCTGGCAGTCAATTCAAGTTTTCAATAAAGTGATTTAAACAAAGTTTATGACAATATTTTATTTAAAATACTCAAGTTATATTTAGAATGCTCACTACTGAAAAAGAAGTCCTCATTAAAAATTCTTCCTAAAGTCAGGAAATTTAATACTTGGACCATTTTTACTCATTAAAACCCCTCCCACTATACTCACATCCCAGATGATTCTTTCCAGACCAGACATTAGAAACAAATAAGCATTCACAGAAGCACTTAATACACAGTCCCAAGGCTTATACCAGTCTCTTCTACAGAAAGTCATACTGTCACTGTGGGAAATCAAATCATGAAGTGAGGACAAGTTTCAGAATGATTCTTGTCAAAAACTGGAGCACAAAATGTATTCCTCTCATAGCTTTCTGCCAAAAGATGTACTTTGAACATTCTCTCCTAATTAATTGTGGCTATCAATGAACAGTTTGACATCACAGTAGCAATTTTGATTTGTAAACAGCTCCTAAGTCCAAATTCCTGTACTGTACTTTCTTTGACTTATTAATTGTATTAGTTCAATTGAATCGAAACATTTTGTAAGAGGCTGAATTAAACTATCAGAACTTCATGCCCACAAACAATTTTGTGATAGTAGACAGTCAAGACAGAAGAGCTGCATGGTAGTACAGCTACTGATGCACACTTGACCAGCCCTTATCACTTAACTTCCACATATACAACAGATGGTTCATCTGACATTCACAGTCTCATCTCACCTTAGCTTTCTTTCTTCATATACACTATAAATGAAAATACGTAGTTCTAAAGTTTGGCTCTGGTTTGAGAGAACTTGTCTGCATCCTTTCCATAATTTCTAAAGTGCCTTGCTAGCTTATAAAGTGACCTACAAGCTCATATAATCCGAAGTCCAATAACATTACTTTAAATTTCAACTTCCTATCACATACAGGAAAATGAACCCCAAACTACTGAACTTACCACTAGAGAGAACGATAAGTTACTTTCCTGAAATAGTGCAAAAGCAAATCCCCAGTAGCACCACATATGGCTGTCGTTAAGGTAGTGGCTTCTGGCTTTATAAATAAATGCACTGCACATCCCCCCTACCAGCCCATGGTGGAAAGAAGGGTGTGGGAGGTAGAAACCCCAGGAAAGGAAGTAGATGACAACACATGGAGATCAGACAAAACTCGAGCTGCAGAACAACAAAATAGGGATGAGAAAAAAATAGTACGGGGACATAAAGCAGAACGCATAAATGCTGTCTACATACAGACATGAGAAAACCGTTCTGATAAGGCTGAAATCAGCATTATCACCGCCTCGGGGAGAAAATGCGTTCTAGAGAGAAAAAAACGCCTCACTTCGGTTTTAAGCAGTGCAGGCACTACAAAGTGGGCTCCTAACGAGCTGTTTAACAGCAGGCACCGCACTGAGCAATGCGTCTACACCAACCAGGCCTACAGAGCAGCGCCGGTGAAGCAAAGCTCAAGCCAGCCCGGTCCCGTCACCCGCGGCCACGCAGCTGACAGGAGCCCCCCTCCCCACCTCTCCGTGGCTCCGCTCCGCCGCCTCAGCGTCCCGGCGAGGTCGGCGCTGCTCCCACGCACCTCAAAGCCCCAGCGAGAGCACCGTGTCGCCTCCCCCGCTGTCGCCGCCTCCGCGCCCCGGTGCAGACGTCAGGACCCACACAGACACCTCTGCGCCCCCCTCGCCCGCCGCTGGCCCCGGGGGCAATGCCGCCGCAGCGCTCGGGCCCAGGGAGGCGTAGGGAGGCGGAGCCGCCGTACTTACCAGCCGCGGGAAGNTGGCTCTACATGGCCCGTTCCGATTGGTTCGGCGGAGGCCCGGCTCACCCGTCACGCCCTCCCGTCAGCAAATAGCGCCGCACGTGTCTCAGCGAGGGCCGCTGCGAGAGCGGATCCGTCCGAAACGGCGCCTTCCATTGGCTGCTGCGCCGTTCCTACAGAACCCACAGTTCCTTGCGAGGGCCGCGGCGCAGCCTGGGAGCGCGTGCCCCCAAGCGCCCGCAGAAGGGCAGGGACTACGTCACCCACAACTCCCTGCGACGAACGGCGCAGGGCGCGAGCGCGGCGTCGCCGCCCGCAGCCCCGCCCATTCCAGACCGCAGAATTCCGGGGAATGAGGCATATATACTTCGTTGACTAAGAATATGGAAACAGCAGAAAATTAAGTGTGTGCCTAAACCAGCACAAATGGAGTATGTGAAACACAAAGAGTTTAATGCAACTTTATCTTCAGAACGGGGTCACTTCTAGAAATTAGTGTAGCGCTGTGGGACGCAACTCTTTGGTTCTCATAGGAATTGCATATTTTTGTGGGTCAGTTAAAAAGCAAACGAGGAAGGGAGCTTGCAACCCTGCCTTTAACGGACTGAAACATGGCTGGCTGGTAAATGATACCCAGGCGTGACAGGACTGTACTGCTACACAGTGCTGTGCTGAATTACAAAGTGTTGGTTTTTCCCACACTGTCTAGTGTCAAACCACTTCAGCCTTACAGCGCTATACTTGGGATCTCTGCAGGGCAAGAGTGGCCACCCATGAGACACAGTGGCAAGCAGTGGTGGCAAATGCAATCCCACCCAGGGCTGAGGGATTTTCTGCCTTCTAGGGAACAGAATGCCTGCTCTGCTCCAGACAGGAGGTGTCTAAAGAGCCTGTAAGCTCCTTGGACAGAACTAACGAGTGGTTCTGATTCTAAGTAGGAGAGTTCTGAAGTACCAGTCAATTTTTTTCTAGCTGCAGTACAGCTAAACAGCACACACGACTAAACAGTTTGACACAACAAACCTGCACAGGTGTGGGAGTGTCATTTTGGAATGGGTTTGAAGGGGCTTCACCAGGGCGCTTCTCTGTGCTGAGATCATTCCTAAGCTGAACCTATGTTTTCGTAAATGGAAAAGCATAAATCCATGTCAGGGTCACTCCCTGGAGCGGAGGAAGGGAGCCCACCCCATCTGGGGAGCAGTGTGAGGCCCCTGCGTGTGGCAGTGACAGCGCTCAGGGATGCTGGAAGGACCAGCGCTGGGGGGCAGCCGGAGGGGCCATGAGGTGACCTGAAGCCTTGGCAGTAGTGCAGGAAATGGCTGAGGGCATGAGGGCAGGGGTGGGTGGGGTAGGTTTGGGTAGTGTGTTCGTTTGGCCTGATTTTTTTGGTAGCGGGGCAGGGCCACAGGGGTAGCCTCTGTGAGAAGCTGCTAGAAGCTTCCACCATGTCTGACAGAGACAATGTGTGATGGCTCTGAAGATGGGTATGCTGCTGGCCCAGTTAGAGAGGTTGGTAATGCCTCTGGGATGATGTACTTAACAAGAAAATCAAAACAGCACATGTGAAGTTTTTGTCAGGGGTGGCGGGGCACTGCCACCAGGGGCCATCCCTGGCGCAGTGCGTGGCAATGCCGCCTCCATCTCGGTGTGGCTTGTGGTGAGCCTGGCCTGCCTGGCCACCCCTAGCCAGCCATGCTGCAGGCAGAAGGGCACGGGTAGCAGTGGCAGCTTCCCCTTCCCAGCACCCCATATGAGGAGAGGCATTAAACAGGGCCAGCGCCACAGCAGCTGCCCCGGCCTGCTTCGTGGTGGTGGGGCCACATGGCTGGCAGAAAACATGACGAGTGACTCTCCCATGTGGAACCTAGATAAGATCGACCTCTTGGTGCTGAGGGATACTGCAAGAATCTTTAGTTGTTGACAATGGTACCTAAAAGCGGTAGTTTTTTCTTCTAGTCAGAGAAGAGGAAGAAGTGAGGACATGTGAAGGAAAACAACATGGCAATACCAAGGTCACTGGAAAAAATGGAAGGGGAGGAGGTGAATCAAGCATTGGAGCCAAGATTCTTCTTCAGGCTGTGGAGAGGACTATGGTAAAACAAACTGGCCTCCTGTGATGCCTGAAGTCCATACGGGATGCAGAGATCCATTTGCAGCCCGTGGGAAAAGTCGATCAAGTCCGGAGCAGGTAGATGCCAGAGAAAGTTCTAATCCAGTGGAAGACCAAAACAGGGAGAGAGGGCCCTTGCTTCCAAACTAGAGTAGCCTTTACTTAGAGGACTACATCCTATGAACCACACCACAACAATTTCAGTGAGGGCCCCCATGGCATAACAGAAAAAACATAATGTAACAGAAAAAAAGATTCCTCTCCCTGAATGAACAGAAGAAGGTCTTGAGTGATGAACTGATCAAACCCCCATGCTCTGTCTCCCTGTGCTGTTGATAAGAAAGAGGAAGGGACTGAGGGGGGAAAAAGGGTGTTTTAAAGGCTTCTTTTATTTCTCATTGTCCTCCTCTGTCTCTGTTAATAGTAAATTTACCTTATACCTTTAAATTTGAACCTGTTTTGCCCTTAGGGTGTTTTTCTCCTAGTCCTTATCTCAACTCATGAACCCTTCATTAATTTTTTTTCCCCCTCCTCTGCTCAACTATAGCAGAAGAGGGTGAATGAACAACTTTCGTAAGTGCCCGATGTTTGGCCAATATTAAACCATGACAGGTAGCCATGGTGGGGGACTACAGGGCTGTGAGAAGCGGTCAGAAGCCTTCCCCATGTCTGACAGTCAATGCCAGCTGGCTCCAAGATGGACCTGTCACTGGCCAAGGCTGAGCCAATCACTCACAGTGGTGGCACCTCTAGGGAAGGGGGAAAAGTTCCTGCACAGTAGCAATGGCTTTGGGACAGAATATGTGAGAGAAACAGCTCTGTAAACACCAAGGTCAGTGGAGAAGGAGGGGAGGATGTGCTCCAGGTGTGGGAAGTGAGGTTCTCCTGCAGTCCATGGAAGGTGGGGAGGACCATTATGAGGCAGCTATGTCCCTGCAATGCATGGAGGTCGATGCAGAAGCAGAGATTCCATGCCAGAGCAGGTGATGCTTGAAGTCTGTGACCCCGTGGGAAGTCCATGCTGGAGTAGGCTCCTGGCAGGGCCTGTGGACCTGTGGAGAGAATCCCGCATTGAAGAAGGATTGCTGGTGGGGCCTGTGGAGGACTGACACTGGAGCAGGCTGTACCTGAAGGACTGACTGTACTCTGTGGAAGGTACCTACACTGGGGCACTTTGTGAAGAATTGCAGCTTATGGGAGGGAGTCACATTGAAGAAGTTTGTGGAGGACTGTCTCCTGGGTGATGGAGCCCATGCTGTAGCAGCAGCGCTGTGAAGAGTCCTTTCTGTGAGAAGGAAGGAACAACAGAAAGTGGTGAACTCACTGTAACACCCTTTCTCTGTCCCACTGTACCATGAGGATGGAGAGGTATAGAATTTGTGAGTAAAGGCTGGAAAGAAATATGGGGTGGGGGGAAAATGTGTCATTAAGATTCGGTTTTACTTCACATTACCCTACTCTGATTAGAGTCATAATTAATTTTCCCTAGTCAAGTCTGTTTTGCTCAATCTGGCAGTAACTGCTGAGTGATCTCTCTCTGTCATCATCATGACCCTCAGCCCTTTTCTTATATTTTCTCTCCTCTGTCTGGCTGAGGAAGGGAGTGATAGAGTGGCTTTGGTGGTCACCTGGTGATGAGCCAGGGTCAACCCATCACAGCTGCCCAGAGCCCTTATGGACTCCCTGCCAATGAGTTGTTCAAGGCTTCATTCAACAAATCTCTCCTCAACTTGACCCAGTCAGCCTTCCTGCAAGCAGCGGTTGAACTAGATGACCTCTGGAGGTCACTTCTAACCAAATTTATTTTATATCTAAAGCTCTGTGTGTGGGGTTAAGTGAACTGGAGGAACAAGAGGAAAAATACAATGGGGGAAACAGATTTTTTTTTTTTTCTGAATTAATTAATAACCTTCCAAACAAAAAAAAATAGATAATACTGCAGACTTAGTTAACTACTGAGTTAGTTCTGATTAATTTATTATATTCTGTAGTCTAAAGGTGTGGTAAATTTATTGCTGCCTTTCCATTTATGTGTGCAGCAGCCATAAAATTCCCATTAATTTTCTTAATCAGTTTTGCATTTTTTTCTCTGAAGCTTTGAATAGAACCTTAGGTATTTTCACAGTGTTCTTCCTTTATTCTCTGCCAAAATGTTGTGGTCTTTTATGCAGAAGTCCAAGTGACAAGACAAGTGGTAAGGGCCCAAACTACATCCTTTGCATTTTAAGTACTCTTAAGTATGTTTTCTCAAACTATTATCTGATTTAAATTCTCAAGAGATTTTTAAATTTGATATGTTAAGTACTGCCTAGCTTGTGTGGCATGATGTAATACTGGATATTCTCTAGTTAAGAGAATGGAAGTGAGGGAGTTAAGTTAGGAATACTTTAGTGATATGTATTCTTTATGATTATTTCTCATACTCTCTTTCTTGTCTTCTGTCTCTGTAGTTTGATCATACAACTATCTGTGTTGTACCAACATTACCTTTTACTTTGATTGTAGAAACTTCCTTGTATTTTTTTTTAATGAAAAACTGCACATGTGGGAGAGGTATGAAGCTTGGTAGATTTTGAAGAGGAATTTCCCAAGAGTTCTCCTTGCACAATGTTCTCATAAAGTTTTTTCAGCTTGCTTCAGAAAAATTAAAAGCAGAAAGCTTCACACACCTTTCAGGGAAGATTTCTGTTCTAAAATACTTTGTGACAGATTTTTCTGGCAAAAAGTTATACAATTACTTTTTTTTTTAATTAGTGTACAAAATATATAGTTTTAAGCAGACTAATTTTCATAACTTTTTAATGATTTAAAAAAAGACTATTTTGTATAAAGCGTTTGCACACTAATTTCTGAGAAAACAATTAGAAGCAAAATAATACTTTTATATCTCCAGTGTTCATGGCAGTTGAAGTGTTATGATTCTAGCGAGGTCTATATGCAAAGTAAGAGACACAATACAGATGTTATTTAAGCAACCTAAGGGAGAAAAGGTGAAAATTGTCATAATTAATATTACCTGGTCTGTAAAATTAAGTGCCCAGTCACAGGGAATGACAGAGAGAGAAGGAGTGATGAAGAAAGGAGACTCTTCCACTATATGTTAGAAAAGAGATTGTTGCCAAGGCTTTTGTGAAGACTCCAAGAGGAACAAGAAGGATGTAGCTTGAAGAGCTGTCACCCAGTCTAGACCAGTAACAAATTGTGGAGGTTAGGCAACACTGTGAACTACCGGCATTTGCATAAACAGAAATACAGATATCCCAGGCTTGTTTTTCCTCTCCAAATGGTAAGGGTTGAAGCTCATTAGTGAAAACATCAGCCCTTGCTTTCTAGTTTCCCAAATACACCAGCATTCACATATCTCTGCAGTATCAGTGTGAGCTCAAATATCCATATCTACCCTCACCCATTATTTGGGGCCTCCCCTACTTACCAGGAGAGTCTGGCTTGATCTTCAGTACATAACAGATGCACACACTCATGCACTGTTCTCACAAGCATGCTTGCTCAAGTGTTCGATCTCCCACTGGGTGGTGATCCAATGTCCATGCACACACACTCTGTCTCTTACATAGCTGCTGACCCAGAGCTGGAGTCTTTCCAGATATAGATCTTCTGTTTCATGGCTACTCCAGTTTAAGATTGGCTAGAAAAGTATATGTAGGTGTACACATGGATGTGCACATACACAGGTGTATGCACACTTAAATTCTCTAGGGAAATAGTCTGGTGTCTTCAACCACTGGCACTTAAACACATGGGCCCTGTGAGGCACAGTCCTTGCTCCAGTTGCTGATGTTTAGATCCCACCAATACACACCCTATTCCTAGTGGGGAATGATCCCTTCCCCTGTTGCTGGCACTCAGATCTCAATTGTATTCTAGGCTCTCTATTGTCACCTGGATCTACAACCTGGTGACCTGTGTGTTCGCCAGCTGCTGGCAATTGGACATTGTAGCACTCATGTAGGATAGAGTGAGGTTACAAAGGCAAAGTCAGTAATAGAATTTATTAAGTAGAGAGCACGCACTGTGTTGATCATGGGGATCAGACATGTATCCTATGTTTGCTCCTCTGCTATCCATCCATATCTCTAACTTTCCTTACATTTTTCACTTCCCCTAATGAATCTATATTTTTTTCATAACCTTCACAAGTGCTTTTTTCTTTTTCATGACTTTGGTACACTCTCACAAAGACTTTCAAATATGCCATCATACTCATGAAGTCTTGATTTCTTCTCTGTTTCCCTTCTCTGCTCCCTCCTCCCCTTTGCCCTTTCCTATGTCTAAGTAGTTCCTTCTAACAGCCCATCAATCAACGACTGAAAAGTTCTGGTCTTTGTCTACCTTATTACCTGCTCATTAGTGCTAGTGTATTCATTTCCTTTATTGCTTTATTGTTTTCCTTGTTAATCATTACTTTTATTACACTGAATGGTCCTTAACTAGAGAGCTTAATGAACCAGATGCTCTTACAGTCTATGTATTCTTACAGTGGCATAGAGGAAAAATGCTCTTGTTTATTTAAGGTCCTGGAATCATGCTGCTTTTTGTATTGGTTCTGGTTTTACCTCTGTTATTGAATTATTGCTATTGCTTGCTTTTTTCTGTTAATTTTCTCAAGGGAAGAGCTCCAGTTATCTTCAATGAGATTTCCTGTAGGATTTAACAAAACCTGAGTATTACATGCTCACCACAATTGTAATGTTAGAGTCCCAGAGGCATGACTGAGTTGCTTATATAGATTTCTTCTGTGTACAAATTGTGCTGAGAGCTTCAGTTTGTGCCTAGTGTGGGAAACCTCCAGCAAGTACAGTTGGTGTGCTTGTATTAAAAATAATGATATCCAGTTGTCTGTGTGCTCGAGATGCACTCAGATGACAATGAATAGCAAGACTAACGAGTTTGCAGGTATTACAGCAAAACAAATCCTAGCCTACTCTGGAGATAAAGTATAGTGACATCAGGCTAACCTGTGTACAAGTCTGGTGAAAACATAGTATTCATGATTTAAAACCCATTTGTAATATTGTTCTAAGGCTGTGTAGAATCTGTAGAATTGTATTCAAGCCCATAATTTTCAAAAACTGGACAAAATGAAGAAAAGAAGAAATAGTCTAACTGTTAAGTATCTACAAATGGAAATCACAGATGAGGGTGTGCTCCCTTTCTGTACTAATGAACAGAATCACAGAATTGTTAGTGTTGGAAAGGACCTTTGGAGATCATCTAGCCCAACCCACCTGTAGGGTCACCTAAAACAGGTGATACAGGAACTTGTCCAGGTGGGTTTTGGGTATCTCCAGAGAGGGAGACCTCCCTGGGCAGCCTGTGCCATTGTCCTGCCACACTCATTGTAAAGTTCTTCCTCATGTTGAGGTGGAACTTATTGTGTTTTAGTTTATGGCCATTGCTCCTTGCAATTGCTGGGCAATCACTGAAAAGAGTCTGGCACCATCCTCTTGACACCCATGTTTGAGATATTAATATGCATTTGTCCAGGCTATTGATAAACAAGTTGAAATGCATGGACACATGTGAATTTTTATATATTAGTGTTTTTTTCACATGATTTCCAGAGAAGTGTCTTATGAATTGCAGTGCAGGTAAAATGAAACCATACACTGCCTGCAAGCTAAAATTTTCATATATGTTGCACTTCAGTTGCAGTTATGGATTTAGCAGTGGCAGTTATTTTAGCGGCAGTTTATAGAGTAGCCTGAATTACTTAAAAGTAAGAAAACCTCAACGGGACTGAAAGCTTTCAAGGGAAAATAGGACAAGATAACAAGTACAGCATGGAAATGGTTCAAGAGTAAGTGGGACCTGGTTTTGATGTTTTTCTTCCCACTTGTGAACCCTTTTCTTGAAAGTTTTTGTGCAGACTGCAGGCTCAAGACCAAAGCCAGAGCTCTGCTCAGTGATCAGGCAACGAGCAGGATATTTATTATAGTAATAGGGCTGGGTATAAACTGGGAGACATCTCCAGAGCTGTAATTTCAGGAGGTACACAATGGAAGATGAAGAAAAGTGCATCTCTGAAAACATCACATTTTGCTATGTTAACTATCCCCTAGCTTTCTGTGAATTCTTAGGTATCTAATTTATGTTTATAATATGCCAACACTGTTATTTCTTGGGCTTTTTCAGAGTTAGCACTTAAATACGGGTAGTTAGTATTCGTAATGGTTTGCTCAGAAAATTTGAGTCATTAATGTGGAAAAAACCAGAAAACCATCACAAGGTTTAGACTATCAATCATAAATAAACAATTTTGGCATTCATGCAGAGTGTCATTTATTCAGTAAAATGGTTAACAAACACTTGAAAATAACGAACATGCTTGTGGGATTGTTTTTTAGGTTATTTGGGAACAGAGAATGGTAAAAATGGTTAACTGTATCTATTTAGAAACAGGTATGTAGAAATAATTTACATATAAAATAACCTAATACTTGATATTAGACTATTCAGAATAGATGTCAGTGAGACTCTATGAAGGACATCATCAGAGAACTAATTCAGGGTATAAAAAATGGGACTAATAGAAAGCCAGGACTGAAGTGTATAAGTTGGGCTCTGTTCCTCAGGAATGGAACAGAATCTTGTCACCAAATTATATTGTCACAATTATTCACATGAAGTTTCCACTGCTGTCAGTTTCATTGTGTTTCTCATGTCTAGCCCCTGCTGCACTAACAGTAGTCTAGTGATCAGATGTCTAGAGATAGAATAATGGAAAAGTATCAAAACTATTTTATTTTGAAAATATTTGCTTTGGTGAAAAAGCTGTTTCCTCTAATGCTTTGTCTGCCTCTGTTTATGGTTTAACTGTAATTAAAAGTGTAAGCTACAAAGTGAGATGACTGAAAGAATGTCTGTAAGACTGTAAGAAAATTCTGTAAGAATGGCTGGAAAATAAATTGGAATTAACTTTTCTTATTACTATGTGTCTCATAAGTTTTGTGCTTTGTTAAAGGACACACAAATGTCAGAGATGGCTTCAGAGTTATGGCACTTGGGTTCAGGTATTGCTAGTCAGATGTGATTTAAGGCAGGTTATTCATTTACTGCACCATGAATATGAGCTTTCCAATGGATTGCTCAGGGCAAGCATCCATCAGTTCATGCCATGGAAGGACAAATGATTCTTACATTGGGAAGAAGTACAAACTGCACTTCAGATTTTTTTTTTCCTTTGGTATGATTGTGAGTTTTAGATGTTTGGCATACCAGTCTTTTTTGACGTCTTTACATTCCCTCAGGATGCTGGTGACCAGCTTACTTCTATTGTGACCTTTATTGTGTGAAAAAACCACTAATAGATAAAAATTCACATGTGCGTACATTTCAACTAGTTTATCAATAGCCTGGACAAATGCTTAGCTGATCTGTAAGCCACAGCATACAAACAGTTGCTCACGTTGCAAACTTCAGTACACTCAGCTATAAACAGACTAGATTAGAGATCCAACTATCCATTTGTTGTGCAGGAGGAGTTCAGGCTTAAGAATAATTTTGGGTTGAGCAGAAAGCTGTCTGTACTACTTCTGCTGCCATGCATGTCACATTCGATTTAGCAATTGGGCGTTGTTCCTCAACAGTGCCCGTTCTAAACACTGAAGTAAAATAAAAATGTAAAGAAACGCGCTTGCGATGTAGATTAGATTTGTCCTGAATTGTATGTGGGTCCTCTCTACTGTAGTTTCCTGCTGGGTACTAACTCAGATACTTCAGAGCTTCGGAAAGCTGACAGCTGTGCGCTGCAGACAGTATTTGGAGGTTGTTGTTATCCAGGATGGTATATCAGACGTACACGTGTGTGTATGTTCCATGGACACGCGTGCCTGCAGCGTGTGCGTTCCTCGGGCCCGGTTGTGACCTTGGCCCGTAGCGCGGGGTCCCCGCCCGCTGCCCGCGGCGCCTGCGCGAGCCGCCAGGTGTCGCTGCGGCGCCAGGCTGGGGCCGGGAGAGGCCGCACGGGCCGCGGAGCGGGGTCCGCAGGGCAGGGGGAAAGAAAGGCTCTGCAGGTAATCGCCGGCGTTTTCCCTGCCGCTTACACCTATGGATTGGGTCTGCTTTGGAGTGTCTGTAAACGCCTTGAACGCTGCTGCGAGGCCGCTGCTACTGACTCTGCCAAGGGACGTGGTGGCCAGCGACAGGGCGAGGGCAAGAAGCGTCAGCAGAAACACAGGAGGCTCTGTCTTAACTTGAGGAAAAGCTCCTTTGATGGCAGGGCAACTGAGCACTGAACAGGCTAGCCAGGGAGCCTGGGGAATCTGCTCTCAACAGCCGCCTGGATGCGATGCTGGCAGCCTGCTTTGGGTGAACCTGCTTTAGCAAAGGGGTTGGACGACATGGTCTCTAAAGATCCCTTCCAACCCCATTCTGTCAATTCTGTGAAAATAACAGGCAAAGCTTTTCTGGTTCAAAGTCCACTTTTTGAGAAGTCTTGCCTTAATCTCTCAAGACTTACATAGCTCAACTGTGAAATGGCATTAGTAATGCATCCCTTCTCTACTGTAAAAGAACTTGCTTGTGGAGTGATATTCTGGTATTTTAATAATAAACCTATTTAAATCTTTGGGTAAAAACCTCAAAGAAAGCAAATGCAAGGAAAAATTGACTTCAGTACAGTAAACAGCATGTGGCATCATTGTGCATAACCTGCCTCACCGAGTTGTAGAATAATAGCTGATTTTTTCATCATGAAAACAAGTGTTCAGAGGCTGAGACATTTTAATCTCTAAACGTGTTTGAAGTATGTGTATCCAAAAACATGAGGAACAGTTTATGTTTCTATCCTTTTCTTTTTACTTCTACTTTTACTTTGGTGTTTTTTACTTGTGAGGGTTTTTTTTTCAGCTTGTTTGTTGTGTTTAGTTTTTAGGTTTTTTGTTTGTTTTATCTAAATGGGACTGACTAGGTAACTTTGTTTTCACTTTTAAATTCTAAGCAATTTATAACTCAAAAACAATTTCGTATTGAAAAAGCACACTTTTCTGATTTGAGATTGAAAGATGAATGGTGTAATTTTTATGTAACACATTCCAGATAACTGTTGCTAAGTCTTCTTGTCTGATTTAAAGCTGGTCTCTCTGTATTGCTGGTGATGTAGCTGAAGCTTGATACTACAAGTGCATCCAGTTCCAGTTTTGTAATGATTAGTGTTTGTTTTTATCCCAAATTTTATATCTTTGTTTCTTTTTGTTATATTGACTGCTGAAGTGAACCAGCATGTTATGAGGGCTGAAATAGATCAGCATTTAATATATACTGTACTTGCTGATGAAAACTTGCTAGTGTAGAGGATTGGCAAAAGACACTGAGACTTTAAAGAGAATAAATAAAATTGATACCAAGATAGCTCTGTTATTTTATATATATTTTCTAGGATATTTTATTGTGTGGAACAATAAGGTAGAGATATGGGTATCTTCTTCGGGGCTCAGGAGGAGGAGCAGTTCAAAGGTCAGATTTTTTTTGTGCATGATTGCAATCAGATATTTCAAATAAAGCAAAATAGGATTGGGGACAGCCCTAGATATTTAAAGGTGTATGGTTAAGTGGCTGCAAGTGCTGCTTTGCAGACATGTCCTACACCTTTCTGGACTAGGTCGTTTGAGTTTGTTTCCTCTACCATGCTGAAAGTTTGTGACTGAAAAGCAGTGTAGCCTGCTGATTCCTTTCTTTAAAGTCAAATTTCCCCAAAGTTCATGGAGAAACAATTAGGCTACAGAATTTGTTAATGAACTGAGTCTTGACTTCATGCTTAGACTAAGGAGTGGCTTTTCTTCTGTGGTGTGACTAACTACCCATATGCGCAACAACTGTGTTCCAGGGCTCAGTATTAGGAGCTAATGAAGAGCTTCTTTAGATCAGAAGCCTCTAGCCCTCCTCTCAGTTGGACCTACAGACCACAAAGCTATTAGATTTATAATCAGACACTAGTCAAACTTCTGGACAGATATCCATTTCTTCCTAATGATATCCATGGTCTTATCATATTGATCATAATTCCCAAAAATTAACTCCTGTTATTCTTAGCTTAGTCAATGCACAAGTTCCTAAAACACTGTCTTGACATTCAAAGATCTTGAACTCCTTCAGTTCTCAATGTGAATATAGTAATTTGAATATAGGAGACCTAATTTGAAAATGTCAGTTATGTCAATTACCCCATCTGTAAAATTAGAAATATTAATTAGGTTAAGATTAGTATATTTGAAAGAGACTTGTAATCCTTGAGTAATCTCTTGGAAATACAAGTATTCTAAAACCTCTCATGCATTAAATATCTTTTTATAGCTTTAGAAAAGTAGGTGTTGCAGTCAAACATTTTTCTCCCTTCTTGCTAATGTGTTTATTTGTACTTTTGAATAAGAAAGAAATAAATAACAAACATTTTGACTCAGTTTATGTGAAGTACAACTCATTGTATAATTTCTATTGGGACTGCTAAAAATCTTGAGTTTAATATGAAAATAGCGAGACAGGTTTTCCAGGACAGAAAGCACCATGTTAGAAAGCACTAGAAAGTGATGATTAGCACTGTGCCAGTGAAATCATGTGCCCTAGAGGTTTAGTAATGGGTTTAATCCTACAAGAACTGAATTATTTTGATGTTCTGAAACAAATTTTGAACTCTGTGAATTCTTATGTGATGTGAATAGCGTCCCAGAAATGCATAGTATCACTCGTACCTAAAACCAAAGTGTAGTGAATGCTTTACTGGGTCAGATTTTATGAAAAGAAGCTCATTATGAGGAAAAATTTATTAGGCCAGAAGCAAGTACAGAGTACAGTCCTCTCTTTTTTTTTCCCCCCTAGATCAGGGAGTACATGTTGTCTAATGACTGATAACCTTCTAATTCTGGGATAGTACAATCTTTCTTTAACTGTTCCAGATGTCTTCTTTTAATCTTCGGCTACTTGATGTATCTTTTATTTCATCTTTTCTGCATTGCCAAATTACAGCAAATATTTTTTTTTCTGTTTCAGTACCTAGGATTTGACCGATGTTTAAACCTTGTTTTTTATTTTGTACCTTTACTTTTGTATGTCTTACAGAAAGCAGAGAAATATGATGTTATGAAGCAATATGTCCAGTTTTATTAGGGAACATTGGGCCTAACACTGACTTTTAATATATGTACATTTGTACTATCCCAAAGAAGCACAGTCTTCATGGAAAATGGATGTATTTCCATTGAGATTAATTGTGGGGAAAAACCCATTTCTATTCCCTCAGTTTCCTATAATCCCAGAGGATACCCCCAAACGGTTTTATTTTTTGTAACGTAAGTACTTCAACAGCTTAATATGAATAAACAGTGTATGCATGTGAAATACAGTGAATGTATATAAAATTACCTGCCTGATATGTGATATTACCATGCCATAATTCTGGGAGCTGTATGAGGTCTGTAATCAAGTTACATTTAGAAAAGTAGCTGTATGATTCTCTTGCACTTATGCCTGCCTTCTGAAAAGATAAATCTCAGATTTACAGAAGAAATGTTTTATGTGTATTCTGGTTGAGCTTTTATGAGACGCTATATCAGCAAACAAGAAATTGAATTTCAAAGGATAGAGGAAAGGGACAGAGCAGATATAACAAAAAGGACTAATTCTACCTGTCTTGTCTCTCAGATTGTATACTAAATTCTCTTTTTCTCTGTGTGCTTTAAAGCAGAGCTTCAGAAATAAATAAAAAAATGACTAACCTTGCAATAAAATCCTATGGTGACATGTTCTTCACATCCATTGTGAAGTGTACAGAAAGAGCAGGGGTTTTTATGCTAAGGCTTGGGACAAATAACCCCAGACATATAGATGTTGAGATGGAACTTTTCAGAAGTTTTAGTTCTGTATAAAGGAATTTAGCATATGCAGCTAAGCTGGAGCAATAGAAATGCCAGCTGACTTGCCTGAGTGTTCACAGTG